ACCGGGGGCTCAATAATAAACACTGCATTGCGCCTTCCTAAAGCAATCTGCAGTTTCAAGATGTGAATTATCAATTTTGTAACAAGTGATTTTCTATGTGCCAGATTTTAAAGTTTTATTGAAAAAAGTGATCTAAGACTGGAGCCCAATACTTTCTGCTTTAGTTCATTATTTTATTTGAAGTACCAGCTATTTGAGATTGTGTAGATGACTAGCATAATCTTTTTCCTGTGTTAATGTTTCCATCATTAACAGTGGTATCATAAATGGAAGACATGTTTTTATTAAAACTAAAAGGTAATGTATGTTCACCTTGGTGTTACCTATGAAAGTTTGGCAAAAACATTGCCAGGATGTAGTGGTGCAGAATTCCCTCAGAAGCTAGGATAGCTATTCCCAGCTTGCACCTCAGTTTTCTTACTAGCTCACCAAAACAAATGAGAACAAGCAGAGAAGCTGCAAACTGGGGATTCTCAGGGGACTCTGAATAACTCTGTCTGACTAAGCCCTTCAAGTCCAGGGGAATGATGAGGTTGCCTCCTATGTAGAGACTCCAGAGTCTGAACATCCATTAGACAACGTGCTCAGAAGAGAGTTGATCTGTACAGCAGGCAGAGAACAAGTTCCTCTCTGTGGTAAACTGTCTTCTGGGAAGAGAAATCAGTTTTGAAATAATCTGCAAATGGAACTATGGTTGTGTCAGCAAGCTTCATTTTAAGCTGTCAGCCATAGCACATGAAGCATTTGACAGTTCTTAGTTACCCTTTCTTTAAAGAATTGATTGAGATAAATTCCAAATGCTGGTAACACTTACATACAAAGACTTTTTCCCCCCTTATTGATTCCAGAAATAACAGGGCAAGTTGTAAATCTGAGGTTCTAGCCCAGTGGGATGATTTAGAATATTATACAAATTGAAGCAAGTTCTTGTTCACTTTTGAATTGCCTTTGAAACCTATTGCCTGGGTTTCCCTTCCCCATTTCACCTGAAATTGCAAAAAAGTGCTTGTTTTTCTTGGACACTAGTGTTGTGCTGTATAGCTTTGTGTAGACCTTGGCAGTATAACTAAATAGGTGAGAGCTGGGGTTATTGTCCTATCCCAAACTCTGCTGCAGAAACTGTTCATCCTCTGAGTCAACAGATCTCTGGACAGTTGCATAATAGTTCCTTTGAGAATGGGAGGGTATGATCTGACAGGAATATTAACTGTAGTGCTGTTCACACATCTCTTGGCTGAGATCCTGTGTTTCTGTTAAATAGAGGGCATGCAGGTAAGCAGCAAGTGTGTAGCACCTCATAGAAATCCTCCTGCATTGGACCTGACTGCATATTGTGGGAAAGTGAGCTAAAATAGTACCAAATTGCAATCTGATTGTTTTCCAGATCTTTAGCTTGAGATATTCTCGAGTTTCATGGGCTATGTTTTCTCCTTCACAATGCTTTAAAGTAAAACTTTGTGTATAATTGGTTTTGGCATGGCATGTGTAAACAGAGATGGCAGCTTCTTCATCTGCAGGAAAATGTACCAGCGTTCAGTCTTCAGAGTAATAGCGGGCAATGCTGGTACAGCATTTGTTCTTTTAAAGATGTATTGCTTTATAAAACAAATATACTACAGCCTAAAGAATCTAATGAATTAGTAATGTAATCTGAGCTTAATTTTAATTCCAAATCTGTGAATAAGTTGTTTTACTCTTAAGTGCCACATTTCTTGGTAATCTTCTTCCCTTTTTATGCCAAGCCAGCAGCTGATATAGCAGGAGGGAAATGGGGTGTGTGGGACAGTTTTCTGGCTAGAGGGCTGGCTCTGTAAGGTGCTGTTACAGGCAGCACATGAAGTAGGTGAATCCCAGCAGATTCCTTTGATTTGTGACTGTCTATATAAGCACTTTTACTAAATGAACACTTGACTAGAAATCCTCATTTCCATCATCTGTTTACAACCAATGAGGCCCTAAAGCTTTTTAAAAGCCTTTTTACTGATAGCATAACTTATCAATACTTAGACCTGTGGGTTTAGAGACTTTTCTTTCCTCTATAAATAGCTTCAGCCGTGTTCAGCCACATCAAAGCTGGAGAGCAGTCTTGCACGTTTTCTTCATTTGCTCCCTTTGCCTTGAGGAAAAAAAAAAAGAACCCAAATTTGGTGCTTTTGCAGGCACAAACCCATGACAGTTACATTTCCACCTGCTGCAAATTTGAGATGTGCTTTCTGTAATACTGCAAAACTGGAGAAGAGGTATTTACATTACTTCCTGTTGAGATAAAGACTTTAAACGTTTCAATGTTTTGTGTTATTTAGGAGATGCTTAGGTGCTTGTGGTCTGATTATTTAACATTTTTATGTATTATGTTGCATTAAATTGATCAAGAATAAGCTGCTAACATCAAATGTAAACAGTAAGTTTTTTGCTTGTCTGTGGCACTGTAAAAGTAGGGAGTGAAACTCATAATTGTACAAGTAAAGTAGGAAGCTTTTAGGTTTAGCCTAGTGAGGACTAGGCTAAAGTGAGTCTTGTTTTTTTGCTTGAGGTATTGCTACAAAAATAATCTATAGCTGAGCAAAATAATATTTAGATTTATTATTTAATCAATCACAAGATTTTTTTACTTTTCCAATACTTCTGCAACAAGATGTCATTCTTATTTCAGAATTGTGGCAGTAGATTTATTAGCCTGTTATCTGGAATGTGAATTTGATAGGAATTCCTAATCTCTCAGTGAAAGGTACTTGAAAAACCCCCAGTAGTGGACTAGTCTACCAATGGTTCAGAGCAAGCATCAGAGAGCAGTTTTCTGAGCTTTTAAGATGTTAATAATTCCGCTGCATACATCAAAAATATGGATTAAATTCTGCTAACTACCTCACGAGAGCATATTTTTGATTGCCATGAAAAGTGTTGGTGCTTGTGTTTATTACCTTTAAAGACCTTCTGTCTCCATCTGTTTATATAGTTGCTGTGCATGATGACTGATGTTGCCAACTGGTTACTTCAGCTCTGTGACAGAGCAGATATAAAAAGCTCTTCATGTACACAAAGATAATGTCCTCATCTCCTGCTCAGACAGTCTATAGATATGCAGAAATTCTCAGTGCCATATTTCAGTTCTGTTACTGTAAATATATTCTAATAACTGTAGACAGATAATAAATATGCTTTTTAATAACCCTTATTTTCTGTAGTGCTGGTTGTGGTTTTCAGATGGGTAAGACAAAAAGTGACTTTCTATGGAGACTGTGGATCTGACCCAAAGCTTACTGAAGTCAGTAACCAAATAATCTGATTTCAGTGACCTTTCCATCAACATGGCCCTTCATGAAATGGTGGAGGCTTTTGTGGTCAGCGTGAAGTCTTGTCCTTTCTCGGTTCCTGTATCGCTGAGAATGTGTCAAGTAGCTGCTTTGTGTCATTGTGAAATCATCTTTAGCTTTTACTTGGTGTTTCCTCATTCCTAATCTAAAATAGGGCATGATGCCAAACCCCTATATATCTGAGATTCCCATCTAGCTGTTAAATGGGTTTGAAATTAGCTGATGAAAAAGCTAGTAATGGGAAAGTTGTCAGATATACAGGCATAAAAACTTTCACGGGTGCACTGTGAGCATGCCACCTTTGTTCCCTTTGATAATGTTAGGAGGGGAAGAAAGTACTTTAATCATTTTATTTCCTGGAAATTATGTTTTTTAGAGAATTGCTGTCTATTTGACTCAACACAGCAAACAACAGAGAGTGTAAAGTAGTTTGCCAGGAGTGAACCAAGAATTATTTGAAAGTAACATTTACAATTGAAATGGATGGTTTTTTGCAACTCTTGGTGTCCTTGGCTGTCTGGCTGAAAATTATGCCTGAGATCTCACCAGCCTGGAATCACAGCATCAGAGACTGCAAACCAGTTTTTTC